GCATCCTCTTTGGGAGGTGAGGTTTCTTGTTAGCAATGTGCCAGCCAACAACAGGGTAGCCAAGGCGGGCAGACATGGTTCCTTCCTTAGCTGGAGCTTCCACCTTGCTGATGTTGGGGACACTGTTTTGGCTCAGAGAACACCCCAGTTTCCATGAGAGTAAGGCCCCATTTTCCACCACCTTCTTTGCATTTCCTGGTCCAGCCATGAAGGCTGACATGTCAAAGAGTCTGTTATTTACAACAGGGACCAACTTCATGTTATGAAGTTCCACCTCCGAGAAGCTTCTCATTCTGTTTAAGAGTTCAATTCTCTGCTTTGGTGTCATTTTTGTTAAGTCAGCATCCAAAATAACAGTCAGGATAGTGACCGGCTCTTCTGAGCTGCACACGAATGGCGCAGTGTCACCTGTATCTTGGATGGCCACTCGCACCGACTGAGGCTCGTTGTGGTCTTCTTGGTGGACCTCAACGGAGAAGACGTTTGCAGTCTGTGGCACGTAGCTCCCATTTGGAAAGGGCTGCAGCGTGGTCACTGAGATGTAGTGGACGCCCTTGTCAGTGTCAAGGGGCAGTCCTTCCAGGGAGCTGCTCTCTGTGTTCCAGTGTAACCAAGAAGGCAAGGAGTCCTTCCCAGCTTCAGAGATCTACCAAATAAGAGAGAGAAGGCGTTTTTAAAAGTACAGCATTAGGACAAGGTTCTAACAGCAGTAATGCTTAATTTAAAGGATTAAAGAAAGAAAATCTGAAGCGTAACAACTGGGGAAGGAACATCCTGGCTAGAGCAGGGCAGCCTGTGTCTCCTTCTCTGCATGGTGGCAAGGACGAGCTCTGCAGGGTACACTGGTCCCAGAGGGCTTAAGGAGCCATGGGAGGTCATCAAGTCCTGCAAAGGTCCCTTGTCTGCAGGCATCGGCTCTTTAGCACTTGCTGTGCAACTACTAAGCACAAGTGGTTCATTTTCTCCAAGGGCAGAAGGAGAGTTTAAGTCATGGGGACAGCTATGAGGCTGAGGGTGAAGTTACATGATAGCGCAGAGCTGATCCAACAGCTGCCCTCCTCCCACTCCTTCTTCTTTCTCTTCCATACCTGCTGTCTTGCTGCTTTCCTCACCCCATCACTCTTTGCAAGCCTGTTGCTCCAGCAGCTCAGCAGAACATAACGTTTTCTCTGTTAACCCTCAGCTTCATCCCACTGCCCCCCGCAGCCAGGCTGAGCCAGAGGGGCCAGAAGCTGGCAAACCATGGCTCGAAGTCCCCTGCCTGGGTGGAGCACACCAGCTCTCAACAAGCACCAGCAAATTCTGAGAGCTATGCAGCCGCTTAAAACACAGTGTCTTCCTGCACTGCCAGAGGAACGGCAAGCTGGGGACCGAGGAGGGGAGCAAACCCCATATCTGGTCAGCACGGCACTGCAATGGCCAGCGCGGGGACACAGCGCATGGGCTGGGGCACTGCAGGGCATCACACAAGGCTGCACACCAGCCTGGCTTTATAATCAGAGTTAGCTTAAAATGCAGGGTTTCACTTTAATATAGTAACTTGCTTTTGCAGACTAGAAACAACGCGCAGCTTTGGCCCAGGCCGCAGGCACCTCAGGACTCCAATGTGCTGTTTACTACCTCTTTTAGGTCAACAGCAACACTTTTTTTTTTTTTTTTTTAAACATGACTCGTGGTACAGATTAGTGAAGCATGGTCCAAGAGCACAAGCCTCCCCTTCAAACTGCGCAGTCCAACAGCAGGGGCAATGTACAAAACGATGGCATTTCCATATGCTCCAGAGGAGGGAGCTGGTGGAAACCTCAGCGGCTGCCTCTGCTTCCCAACTTACTCATTTGTGCCTTCCTAAGCCCACCCTCCTGTTCCAACCTCAGGTCCCCTTCCCTGCCAGCCCAGCTCTGGACCCTTTGGGTCCCCTGGTCATTTTGCTCTTGTGGAAAAGACATCAGTTCTCTTCAAAATGTCACCAGCATGGCTCACACCCTTCCAAAGCACTCCCCTACCCCATGCAGGGTGTTGGAGCCCTGGACACTCCCGCCTCCCACCCCAGGCTGTAGCTGAGGGTGGACACGAATCCCCCAGCCCCCCTGTTCCCAGCAGCTGACGTCTGTCTGTCTGCACTACAGCCGCTCCCTGATCACCAAGCACAGCGGAGCCACTTGGGCTGCACAGTGGAAGGGGTGACACTGCCAGCTCAGCGGGCTGTGACATTTCTTGAGGCTATAGGTACCCCATGGCAAGTAACCTGAGCTTTGCCACCCCCTCAGGCTCGTAGACATTTGGAAAGTGCCCTAGATAGGCTTTCCAGAGCCCACCACAAGGCATCTCCCCCACATCCAGAGGAAACAGGACGTTTTGGGGCCCACGAAGACAGATTTAGCAGCCTGGCTGAGGCTTCGGGCGTGCTGCAGTCCAATGCAGAGCCGTGCTCCAGCTCCTGAAAGGGTGCTTTGGTTACTCTGCAATTCTGTAAAGCTCATACATATTTCATACTTTATCCAAACACAAAGCTGGGCAAGGAAACCTGCCTGGCAGGAGCATCCTGGCGTCCGGCAGTGAGTGCAGGGATGGGACAGGACTTGCCAGACCTGCCTAACTGCAGGGCCTGCTGGGGAAAGCGCCTGGGACAGACAGACAGACAAAGAGCGATGCCGGGTGCTGCAGGACTGGGCAGCTTGTGAGCCCTGGGTACCTCTCCCACCCCCCTGGCTGCAGTCAGGATTAGGCAGCCTGCTGAAAGGCAGGGCAGCCCAGCTCACAGACTCCCCCCCGCATGCTGAGGGGTCTGGATGCGCAGCTCAGCAAGGGTAATGTAGGACCCAAAAGTCTTTTGGCAAGAACAGCACGAGAATGCTTTTGTGCAAGAGCCGCAGAGGGTTTTGGCCATGACCATAGGGGCAACACCCTCGATCAGCCCCACTTTTGGCCAGCCTGGACAAACTGGAGAGCACATCATTAGACGCACGCTGGGTACAGTTTATAGAGCAGAGTTTAAAGCTGTTAGCACACTTTTTGTTAACTCCTCAGCAGCAACACCTGAGAGCAGGAAATTAAGATTCCTGCTTATACCACACAGAGAAAGTGGCCCCATAGCCATACACCCTGATGCATCCCACCTGAACTGAGGAGCTGAGACATGACCATCACTCCACTCAGCTTTGCTCTTTACCCACACGTCAGGCAGAAAAGAGTGGGGTTTGGCAGGCCTACTGCTGCATTCGCCTGCTCCCCCACTGCAGCAAGAACAGGAGCTTTTACCCCAGCTAGCCCGAAGGAAAACCAGCCCTTCACCTGAGGCAGGCAGGAACAGAGGACCACATTGTCCTTCCTTGGCATCTCTTCTGCCAAGAGAGGAGAAAGGCAGGGTCTGACCCTGCCCAGCCAGAACCAGGACTGACCCACACTTGCATCCCTTCTTTAAAAGTAGTGTAATTTCATCACGCCCTCTAAAAACAGAGATGCCAGGACAGCAGCCAGTGCAATCCATCATTTACATTAGCTGGAGCTGAATGGTGCCACCCTTTATCCCCATGGCCAAAATTAGCCACCAACCTGCCCGCTGGGGAGGAAGAAGGGCAGGGCTGGGCACACGTTAGGAACAGAAACGTAAGGAGCCAGGACAAAGCTGCAGCGTTATTGAGGCTTACACAATCAAGAGGAATAAAAACTTTAGTAGTGAGTGGTTAAATGCACGCTGAACATGTAATTTCAGGCTACATTTGGAACAAATCTTCCGCTTCCATGCACTCTGCAAAAGCCCTTAATTAAAGGGTCACACACTCCACACAGAGCTTTCCTGCAAGCCGGGGTTTTCTGCTGCTCCCTCCTCCCCGGGCACAGCGCATGGCTCCAGGAGGAGATGTACAACAAGCATTACCTTTAATCTCATGACACAAGGTGATTCGCTCTTTGATCATGTGCGCTCCTACGTTTGATAGGAAAGGTGGCCAACCTCATGTGCAAAAAGGACAGTGAGGGAGGCACAGGCCAGGCTGAATATTTCTCCTTGGAAAACCATTTTGTGTCCAGAGAAGGGGAACGAAGCTGATGAGGGGTCTGGAGCTCAAGGCTGATGGGGAGTAGCTCAGGGACCTGGGGGTGTTCAGCCTGGAGAAGAGAAGGCTGAGGGGAGACCTTATCGCTCCCTACAACTGCCTGACAGGAGGGTGTTAGTCAGGTGGGGGTTGGTCTTGTCTCCCAAGTAACAGGCCTCAAGTTGCATCAGGGGAGGTTTAGATTGGACATTAAAGAAATTTCTTCACTGAAAGAGTGGTCAAGCACTGGAACAGGCTGCCCAGAGTGGTGGAGTCACCATCCCTGGAGGTGTTCAAAAAACATGTAGACATGGCACTTTGGGACATAGTTTAGTAGGCCTGGGGGTGTTGGGTTGACACTTGGACTTGATGATCTTGGAAGTCTTTCCCAACCTTAATGATTCTGTGATTTTTAACCTACAGTTTACATGTGAGGTCATATTCTTAAGGACCCATGCTAGAAAATCAAACTGCAGCCAGACAGATTCACACCAGAAACTAGGTTCTCCTGAAAAACAAAAACAGGCCAGGCAATCACCTACTGGGACAACTTGTTCTACCAGGGATGCGACAGCTGCAAAACATTTATAAACCCACTTAAACTTGTTTTAAAAAGAGCTGAGCTAGTTCAGCTGTATTCAACCTGCGAGGAGATGTGGACTGTTTCTACAGGTTCTGCAAGAGGTGATTCAGAAAATCAAGTTTATGTGTATTACACCTATGAAACCCACCAAGATGCCTGTGCTTCCCCTTGTACATCTTTAGGAAGGCAACAAGTCTTCGATGCCACGGCTCTGCTTTAAACACAGCTACTGCCCTGGCAGCAAAATTCATCCACGTTCGCATGGCAAAGGAAGAGCCCTGCAAGATTAGAGTACATAATCAAAGCACTTATCAAGCTGAATAAAATTACTTGTTCCTAAATGAAGGTTAACCAGCAGAGCCCTCAGAGTGGGTCCATCCCAGTCACTGCTGTGTTTGTGGTGGCATGAAACTGGGAACGGAGAGCCCTGGACTCTGTTCTTGCAATGTTTCCATCAAATATTGCTTCAAAGGGTATTTGTTAAGGCTATGCATAGTTAATGATTTGGGATCTCCAGTTTTCATGTAAAAAGTTTTCCAGTTTTCTATGTACGCAATAAATATCAGCCTTAAGCCCTGCCATTTCCCTCAAGGGGTCTGGTTTCAAAATAACTCTTCCATTGCTCAAGAAGGAAAAAAAAAAAAAAAAAAAAAAAAAAAAAAAAAGGCTGCCTTTGTTTTGCCATTATTTGAGATAATTGTAAATGAATGCTTATCTGGTAAAGATTACACAAGCCTGGCAGTGTACTGAAGACCATTAAAAAATTAGCCATGTTCGTGATTTTAAATACACAGAGTGGCCTGGCTGGCTTTGAAGACCTTGTTCACAAAGTCCTTTCAGATATACACGGCCTGTTATTTTTAGGCCAGCCAAGAGCAGTCAACCCATGAAAGAAGATAGCTCGGTTTGATTTTTTTTTTTTTTAAAAACTTGGATCTTAAAGCCCTGTAGCCAACAAGACAAAGATAAGCAAAGGAACAACGAGCAAAACTGCTCCCTCTGAGGTAATCCACAGGGAAAAATGCCTGA